TTATGTTCTATTTTTTTTGCATGAAATCCTTGCAATGGCATCTTGACCTAAAAATGCAAAATGTAGTGATAGATATTGCTGAAGAAAAAAAAGGTGATAGACAAGAAGATTAGAGAGACAACAACCTTACACAAATGGATTATTTTGCTTATCGACTTTTTTTAAGGCCTAACAAATATTCCACATTTTTTTGTAGAAGAAAGCTATTACAAGAATTTATGGTTGATGGATGGGCAACAACTGAGCAATCTTATTTGCAATATCTACGTTACAATCAAAGAAATCTATGTGCTGATTTATACCAAGGATTAGTAGTTGTTGTAACTCATCAAAGTATTGGGCATGAAGAAAGACAATATGAATTAAATAATTTAGGATGCAAGATCTTACTTCTATCATCACATATTGGAAGTACAAGACATATGATAGAAATACTTCAAGATTCTATGGCAATTACAAGGTTTTATAAGCATCTTGATATTTTTATGATAGTGACAAAAAATCTAAGATGGGCCAAAATCTAGAATGAATTGCTTCAAGGACAATGAGCAAGTGAGTGGCTAGATTTGGATGCCCATGTATTTGAGCTCAAGAGACATGTAATTATGGAAGATATAAAGAAAGGAATTATCTTTGGTCATGTTGTTACATATGTTTATATCGTTGAGTTTAAAAAGAGAAACTTACTCATATACACATCTTGATTTTTTTTGGATAGAAAAAAGAAGATTAGATGCACTAGAGATGTAAATCATATGGTTTTTACAAAATTTCCTAATGAAGACAACGACCAAGAACTATTTGAAGTTATTCTATAATTCATGGTACATGGTTCATGTGGAATGCAATATCCTCAAGCATCTTGCATGGAAGACAGTTATTGTACAAAGAGGTATGCAAAGGTGTTTGTGGAAGAAATAACAATGATTACCAATGGATAGCCTCAATATTCATGAAGAAATGATAAAAGAATGTTTGAAGTTCAAGGAATGATTGTTGATAATAGGGATTTTATTCCATTTTATCTAAAAATAGCTTAGAAGTATAATTGTCATATTAATGTTGTGGTATATGCATCTATTTGTACTATCAAGTATATCCACAAATACATCTATAAGGGTCATGATTGCATTACAATGCAATTTGAAAACCAACAAGACGAGATCAAACAATATTTGGATGTAAGATACATTGAAGCTCCAAAGGCTATTTGGAGACTATTTAGCATGCGGATCTATGAAGAAATACCAAATGTTGTTTGTTTGGTCTTTCATCTACTAAAAATGCATAGAAACTTTGTTATAAATGAAGCTATTTATATGCATATTTACATACACATAAATTTATAAATGAAGTAAATTTATATTTGATTTTTTAATATAATTTAATATTTTTTTATATTTTCACAAGTAGTTCTTTAAACTAAACTACTTTTTTTTGTATATTATCTATGAAAATGGCATGGGTTTACTTATCCTACTTCATACCTAAAAGCTCCATTGTGTATTTTATTTCTTTTTATTTGTATTATATTGTATTTGAATTTAAAAAATATTCTGTGACTTATATAAATAGATTCATTAGAGTCATACTTTCTATGACAATGACATAGGTTCATCTAGATATTTGCAATGGAATCCAATTAGTAATTATACAACTAATGGATTGAGTTCTTGAAGCAAGAATTCTTAGAGGAAAATTTGCTGAAAACTTGGTATTTATTCTAAGGATTACATTAACTTCTACAACAAAAGATCTTTTGTTTATTCTAAAGAGTAAAGAATTTCCAATTTGTCTTGCATTTGCAAAACAATAAATAAATCTCAAGGACAATTGGTGACGCATGTTGGTTTAAATCTACAAAAACCTATTTTTTTCCATGGTCAACTTTATGTAGCACTCTCTTGATGCACTTCCTCCCATTCTATCAATGTTCTTCTTCCTAGAAATGAAAATTTAAATTCTACATTGAATATTGTTTTCTTAGAAGTTTTAATTAGATAAATATTATTAATTTATATTTATATTTATATTTATTTATTTATTGACTTTAGTACATCTTTAAATGTCTTAACAAACTTTAATTATTTTTTAATGTAATTTAATGTTTTTTTTATATTTTCACAAGTAGTTCCTTGAATTAAATTAACTACTATTTTTTGTATATTATATGTGACAACAGCATGGGTTTCCTTATCCTACTTCATATCTAAAAGCTCCATTGTGTATTTTATTTCTCTCTATTTGTATTGTATTGTATTTGAATTTTAAAAAAATTCTATACCTTACATAAATAGCTTCATTAGAGTCACACTTTCTGTGGTAACAACACAAGTTCATCTAGTCAATCCATATTTGATGAATGTAGATTTTCTAATACATCATAATGCCAAAAGTTGAAACTCTACCTCAATATAACAAAAGAGCATGCCAAAGTATTTACATTTTGACCTAAAGCCATAGTTGAGTTGGGACAAAGTTCAATGCAATGTATACCATTTAACTACCAAGTCAAATGTAATTATTGTATACTTAGCCTGTGCGATCGTACAAAATTCTTGAAGAATGTTACCAAGACTCTTCTATGTGCTTACAACCAAAACACCACTTCTTTGGTTATTCAAAGGGTTTCATACCTAATTTAAAATGAAAGATCCTGACTCTTGGCAACACAGAAGTAGTCCTCAAACACAAAATGTACTTTTATATTCATGTTCCAGTATCAAGGTAGCTATCCCTGCGCTCAACTCCTTGCCATGTGTTACTGGACATGTGCCTTTCGAGCAAACCGTGATGGGTGCCAACTGCTTTGCACGCAGTTAATTAAAGAAGTTACATGGCTGAATAATAAAATAGTGGGAGCCATTTATGTATGCTACCTACAAGTGTGGATAGTGCACAGGTAACAATGGCTAAGGTGGAATAGTGCAACAGTTAAAATCCATCTCCGTTCGAATTCATGCCAAAATCTACATATCCGATTACCTTGTAATACTACATTTTTCTTAAAAAAACTTTTACAATATTGCTCGCATGTCGACTATGTGCTCTCTCCAGCCTGCCCTTACACGTAAAAATGAAGATTTTGGATGATGTGGACTAGTGAAGTGGGGGGCATCTATGAAGGCATACCCTTCAATCACCCATACCCTCACGAAAATTCTCGATTGTGACGCCTTAAACCGATGTTCAAGAAAACATACATACACACAGTGCGCGGACGGGCCACAGGATGCGACCGTGACAAAACCTACACGACTCAGATAGACGCTCTAACAAAAATCACAACTACAGCTGCGCAACGTCATACTCCGCACAGCACTACGAACTAAACCTT